CCTCCTGAGTAGCTGGGATTACAGGCACGTGCCACCATGCCCAGCTGATTTTTTGTATTTTTAGTAGAGACGGGGTTTCACCATGTTGACCAGGATGGTCTCGATCTCTTGACCTCGTGAACCACCCGCCTCGGCCTCCCAAAGTGCTGGGATTAGAGGCGTGAGCCACCGCACCCAGCCCAATTTTATATTTTCAAAGGTATTTTTTTGTTGGCTCCAGAATGTGTGTGCAAAGATAAGTTGGTTACTTAAATGTATGTTACATATTCTAGCTATGAAAATTTAAGACTATCTTATTCATTAAAAAACACATGGGATAGCCGGGTGTGGTGGCTCATGTCTGTAATCCCAGCATTTTGGGAGGCTGAGGCAGGTGGATTGCTTGAGCCCAGGAGTTCAAGACCAGCCTGGGTAACATGGTGAAACCTTGTCTCTACCAAAAAAAATATGAAACTAGTTATGTGTGGTGGTGCATACCTGTAGTTCCAGCTGCTTGGAAGACTGAAGTGGAAAGATGGCTTCAGCCCAAGTAAACAGTTTGCAGTGAGCCAAGATCACACCACTTGACCAAGTGAGACTCTTTCTCAAACACATAATCTCTCTCTCTCTCTCTCTCTCTCTCTCTCTCGCTGACCACAGTAGCTCACACCTGTAATCCTAGCATTTTGGGAGGCTGCGGTGGGAGGATCGCTTGAGCCCAGGAGTTCAACACCAGCCCAGGCAACATAGTGAGACCCTGTCCCTACAAAAAAATCTAAAAATTAGCTAGATGGCCAATCCTGTAATTACCGAATTACACACCTGTAATCCCAGCACTTTGGCTGAGGTGGGTGGATCACTTGAGGTCAGCTGTTTGAGACTAAGCCTGGCCAACATGGTGAAACCCCGTCTCTACCAAAAATATAGAAAATTAGCTGGGTATAATGTATGTGCCTCCAATCTCAGCTACTCAGGAGGCTGAGGCAGGACAATCCCTTGAACCCAGGAGATGGAGGTTGCAGTGAGCAGAGATCATGCTGCTGCACTCCAGCCTGGGTGACAGAGTGAGACTCCATCTCAAAAAAAAAAAAACTAGTTGGGTACGGTGGCACATGCCTATAGTCCCAGCTACTTAGAGGCTGAGGCAGGAGGATCCCTTGAGTCTGGGAATTCAAGGTGACAGTGAGCTATGATTGCACCACTGCACCCTAGCCTCTGTGACAAAGTGAGACTCTTGTCTCCAAAACAAAAAAATCACACTGGATTGCTGAGTGTGATGGCATTCACCTGTAGTCCCAGCTACTCGGGAAGTTAAGGAGGGAGGATCACTTGAACCCAAGAGTTCAAGACTGTAGTGTATTATGATCATGCCGGTGAATAGCCACTGCACTTCAGCCTTGGCAACATAGTGAGATCCCATCTTTAAATAAATTATTGAGGCAATGCATACCCTATGTACCCTGATGTGATTATTACGTATTCCATGCCTATATCAATGTATGTAACCCATAAATATATATACCTACTGTGTACCCACACACACACAAAAGAAATTAATTAATTAATTTTTAAAAACCACAGTGGATATTGTATCATCTGTAGAATATTTATCTCATTATACTGGAGATGAGTAATGTGGCACATTATAGTTGATTTTTAACTTAATCAAAAATTTTTAGTTTGACAAATGTTTCATTTACTGCATTGTGTGGTGTTTTTTATTTTCTAATGTGTATATGTTGAATTTTTTTTAAATCCTATACCTAGTTCCAGTTGACCCAAGCCTCATTATAGTGGTTCAAGCCAAGGAAGATGCCTATATTCCACGAACAGGAGTTCGAAGTTTACAAGAAATTTGGCCTGGTTGTGAAATCCGATACCTAGAAGGGGGTCATATTAGTGCTTATCTTTTTAAACAAGGACTCTTCAGGTAAGATGACTAAACAGGTATTTGTTCATCTGTTGCTTGTTTTCTGGATTTCTTGCTTCAACAAATAGATTAGATATTTTTATTGTCTGTTTCAATCTTCGAATTTCCTCCTCACCTCCTACAAATCTCACATTGAGTTATTTTTCTCTCTTTCCTAGAATTTCATCCTCTCATATTTTCTTTTTCTCCTAGAGAACTAGACATGATGCTTATCATAGGCATTCTTTATCTTGTGGTTTTACCCTCTTCAAATATTAATGGCCAGGTATTTTAGGATGTGAGAAGGATGAACATGGCTTGTTAAAGTTGCTTTGGTGCATCAAGAGGTTTTTCACTCTATTCTGATGTTCTCTCAGAATGGCCTGAACATCCATGGGATAATTTAGCAATGTTTTTCAGTTAGCAAGTGAATATTGAACCTTAAATGAGAAGTGGTTTTAATGTTAACTTTATATGATTCCACTATTTTAGTTAGAACTTATAAAAAACTTTTATGCCAAAACTATAATTTTCTGGTATTCTGCATTATTGGAACATATTTATGTGTTATTAATGGTAAAATAAATTAGTTCACATAAGTGCTTAGATCAGTTCCCTGTACATAAGTGTTCCAAAAAAACTGCCAACTACATAGCTGTATAATAGAGGGGTTGTATGTGATATGTTTTACATGTTTTAGCTCTTGTTAACGTAAGAATTTTTGTATGTTGTTACTTTTCTTTTTTTTTTTTTTTTGGGGGACCGGGTTTCGCTCTTGTTACCCAGGCTGGAGTGCAATGGCGCGATCTCGGCTCACCGCAACCTCCGCCTCCTGGGTTCAGGCAATTCTCCTGCCT